GGGCCTGGGGGGGGCCCATCACTAGCGCATTCGGCTGGTGTGGAGGACAGCATTGACTCAGGACCTGCGCCCGGAGTACACCCCACCCACGGGGCACACACAACACGGGGCGCGCACAACACAGGGTGCGCACAACACGGGTCACCCAGCATGCCTTTGGAAGACAGAACATGGTGCTCGCGGAGGCTCTGGCAATGGGAGGTGAGCCAGGAGCCCGAAGAGTGAGCAGGAAAGGAGAGGAAGAAGGAGGGCCTCCGGAGCCATGGAGGTGGGAGAGACGGTGTGACCCCAGGCTGGCTGGCTGTCCTTGGCCTGGCCGTGCCCACTGGGGAGCCCACACCTGGCCTCCACAATGCCCGCAACCCATGCTCAGCCCATGCGCCTCTGGGGCCAACAGAGGTGGCAGTTAGTGGTTCCCTGTGAGGCCCTGGCACCCCCAGGACCCCCAGCTCTGAAAACATTGTGATCGCTGGTCCCCAGCAGACGACAGAAGGCAGGGCATCATCTCCTACTTCGCAGCGGCTCCCTTCTTCCAAGGGCTAAGCTGAGAGGCAGGCCCAGAGCACCAGAGGCCCCCTCTGCCCAGGTTGAAACCCCTGGGACCTGGATGGATGGCAATCCTAAACTGGAGCACCAAGCCCGAGTGCGTGCCAGCGAGGGCACACGAGAAGGGAGGGGCTCGTGGGGATACGTCGGCAGTGGAGACCGTGAGAGGAATCTGGATGCATCTCTGGAGTGTGTGTGTGTGTGTACACTATGTGCATGCATGTGTGAGCCACCTGCTCAGGTGGGTGCTGGAAGTGGCATGTCTGGTGTCTCCTGTGGACGGAGCTCCAGCAGCTGGCCCGCGGAGGTGGTCTCCTGCTCACAGTCCTGCTCCGGGCCTGGAGCTCGGCGGCCCCGCCTGGCCCCGGACTGAGAAACGGAGAAGGGCTTGGAGACCCGCAGCCGGAAGTAGTGTGGGATTTCCGTGGCGTTGATCAGCTTCAGGTGGTGCGTGATCACCAGCTCGCTCAGCACCTGCGAAGCCATGGAGGCAGGGGAGACCGGGAGGCAGCGTCCCCTCTCCTCAGGCCCTCGGCTTTGGGGAAGGTGTGGCAGGGTGAGGAGAGCCTGGGCCCCAGAAGGACATGTAGGGACAACTGAGGTCCAGGTGAACTGGCAGGGCCAGAAGGTGCTGCACACTCACCCCACAGCAGGGCTGCTCGGGGATCAGGTCACTGGCCTGGCACCAGAACTTCACACCGCCGTCGTAGTCCAGCTCCACGCTCAGCCTGCGGGCGAGAGGCACTGCTGGGGGCCAGGCCTCTGTGGGGGTCCTGGTGGCCCCCACTCTGCTTACCCGTTCCCTGGCCAGCCTGTCCCTTGCCCACCTGCCGGCCTCCCCTGTCTCCCTTGGCTCTGAGAACACTGTCCGGCCCACCAGTGCCCAGAGGGGTGTGGCCCGCAGCGAGAGGAAGCAGATGGGGCGGCCCGGCCAACTCACTGTGCGGGCCTCACGTAGCCGTGCAGGTCCAGCCGCAGGGGGCCCACGGCGAAGTCCTGCAAGCGGTGCCTCCTCCCTGGGATCTCCCTTTCCACCTGGGGAGCCCAAGCTGGTTACTGCTGGTCCCTGGGCTGCACGGGCTGCCCGTGAGAGACGGTGCTGCCCACAGAGACTGTGCTGCCCACAGAGACCATGCTGCCCACAGGGACCGTGGCTGCGGCCCTCCCCGCAGGGAGGCTCACCTCGCTGTCCAAGCTCATGAAGCCCAGGGCGTAGCCGATGCACTCCACCTTGTGCAGGACATCCGGGCCGAGCGCCATGGGTGTGGAGGAGATGGAGATGGTGCTGATGCCCCCAGCGGGGACCACCTGGCAGGACACGGCAGCTCAGCATGGCCCTGCGCCCACCGGCCGGCCGCTTCCAGCCCGACCTTGACTCACCACCTGCTGGGGGCTGACGCGGTACAGGTGGCCGGCGGGGACCCCCCCGTGCCCCCGCGCGGTACAGGTGGCCGGCGGGCACCCCCATGTGCTCCTGCAGGACCACGGAGATGATCCTCTCCGGGACTCCGTCGCTGGTACTGGAACTGCTCTCCACCTACCACCAGGAAACGCGAAGGCTCCCACGGGCTCAGCTGCTCCCCTAGCCACCCCTCGGTGGCCTCGAGTGACCAGCCTGTCCCTTCCTGCCACCCTGGCTTACCGACGGGACAGCTTCCCGGCTGAACTCTAACAGGTTGGAGGGGTCTGAGGATGAGCGGGAGCTGCTGCTGTCAGGAGTCTCGGGGCACACTAGCTCGTTGCCAGCCTGGTCCCGCAGCGGGAAGCGTGGTCCATAGAACACCCGCAGCTCCAGCAGCTGGTCCTCCCGGTCTTCTGGCACGTAGGTCTCCCAGTCCAGGCGGATGTCTGGGCAGACACCGAGGCGTCAGGAGGGGCAGCGATCTCCCGCGGCCTCCACCTCCCCACGCCCCATGGACACGGGCTACCAGTTCTCCTATACTCAAAGTAGAGGGGGTCACTGCCTCTCTAATGCCACTTCTGGGTGATTCTTGTTTTAAAAATAGGATAGCGTCACAGGCCCAGGCTAGCTGGCTCTGCAGCCCGAAGCCTGCCTCATCACGAACGTGCTTCCTCCCTCTCCCTGACCACTTCCTCCGGGGAACCAGCAGTTAGCGTAATGGCTATGTCGCTGGACTCCCACGTAGTCAACCACGGTTCGCGTCCCGGACCCGGTGGCTTAAAACTCACGCCGGGCGCGTGTGCGTGCGTGCCCAAGATCCCGAGAGGAGAAGGGATTGCGGCGTGACCATCCCCCCTGGGGGGTGATTTCTCGCTTTCTGTCTCTATGTCTCTGTCTGTCTGGTGAGCGCACGCGCCCTACAGTGAAAATCTCTAAAAAAAAAAAAAAAAAAAGGAATTGAGAGCCAGCCCCAGGCCTGCTGGTGAAGGGAGTCAGACCCCATGGAGCCCACAGCGCCATCTAAACTCCAGCCCTGGTGGCTTGAAAAACATGCTAGGGACATGTGTGCCTGTGTGCCCCAAATCCTGACGGGATGAAGAGTGGAGAAGGGGTTGGGGTATGACCACGTCTCTCTGAGGGGTGCTCACATGCCCTCTGGCAATTTAGAAAGAGAAAGAAAATGAATTTAATGAGCCTAACCTACTGAATAGCTCAGCCTAGCCCACCTTACAGATGTTCAGAGCACTTGCACCACCTACTGTCGGCCCGGGCCAACTGACAAAAAGCCTTCTTTAATAATAAAGTGTTGGGACCAGCAGTTGGTGTAATGGCTATGTCGCTGGACTCCTATGTAGACAACTGCAGTTCGAATCTCGGACCTGGTGGCTTAAATTCACACCAGGCACATGTGTGTGTATGCCCAAGATTCTGAGAGGAGAATGGAGGAGAAGGGATCACAGTGTGGCCATCCCTGCCCCGGGGGGAGTGATTTCTAGCCTTCTGTCTCTCTGTCTCTCTCTGTCTTTCTGGCAAGCGCATCTGCCCTATAGCAAAAACCTCTCCAAAACAGTAATAATAATAAAGTGTTAAACATCTCATGCAATTTATTGAACACTGTACTAAAAGTGAAAAGCCGAATGGTTGTATGGGTGGGGCCGGCAGGTGGTGTAGTGGTTAAGATGCTGGACTCCCATGTGGCTGACCATGGTTCGAGTCCTGGACCTGGCAGCTTGCTTTTTCAATTTCCCTTTCTTTCTCTGCCTCTCTCTGGTATACTTAAAAATAAGAACCAATAAAATTAAATGAGTAAAATAAATTAAAAAAAAAAAGAATGGTTGTATGGGCACTGGAAGATCTGATGTTTACCTATGTATATATTTTTGGGAGGATTTTTTGTTCCTATAAGGCATGTGCGCCCACCACAATCCCTTCTCCATTGTCCTCTTGAGATCTTGGGCACACATGCACACATGCCCGGCATGAGTTTGTCCAGGACTCGAACCATGGTTGACTACATGGGAGTCCAGCGACATAGCCATTATGCCAACTGCTGGTCCCATGAAGATCCACTAAAAACATAGAGCAAAACAACCGAAAATGCAAGGCAAAATACGATGAGAGTGGTAGACTTGAAAACACTCCTTTCAAGTTGCACAGATCTAGAAGGCTGAACGTCAGCAAGGTCACCAAGCTGCGGCTCTCTACCCTGGCCATGCGTTGATTAGAATCACCTGAGAAGCTCTAAGACAGTGCCTGGCCAGCAGTGGGCGTGGTGGTTCAAGTGGTAGATTCCCACGTGGTTGTGTGAGTCCTGGGCTCAGCAGCTTGAAAACTCACACTGGGCATGTGTGTGTGTGTGTCTAAAATCCCAAAAGGAGAATGGAGGTGAAGGGATTATGGCATAGCCATCCCCCCCAGTTTCCCACTGTCTCTCTCTGTCTTTCCAACGAGCAGACATTTGTGTCCTATGGGAAAAAAAATATATATGTATACACACACACACATATACATACACATGAACACACACAAATAAAAACTACAGTGCCCAGGCCCTCCTGAAGAGAGTGACTTGTTGGGGGTGGGCCCCTCCTTGGAGTGTCTTAAATACCTGCCCCCCCATGCCCACCCGCTGCCCTGTATTTTTTTGGAGAGGTTTTTTTTTTTGTTTTTTTTTTTTTCTATAGGGCACGTGCGCTCGCCAGACAGACAGAGAGAGACAGAGAGACAGAAAGCGAGAAATCCCCCCCCGGGGGGATGGCCATGCCGCAATCCCTTCTCCTCCATTCTCCTCTCAGGATTTTGGGCACGCACGCACACGTGCCTGGCATGAGTTTGAGCCACCGGGTCCAGGACGCGAACCGCGGTCGACTACGTGGGAGTCCAGCAACATAGCCATTACGCCAACTGCTGGTCCCCCCGCTGCCCTATATTTAAGATCTGGGCCTCTGCCCCATCAGCCAGGCTGACTCTGCAAATACACCATCTCCCTTTAAATTCTGAGTGTTCCAAAGCCCCTCCCATAGGCCAGAACACTCGGGCTACTGCCCCCTCCTGGACTCAGCCTGTACGACACTCCAGAGAGAAGCCGGCCCCTCCACACACCCTCCCGCACTCTGGCCTTCCCCTTCACTCGGCACCCACAGCCCCAGGAAGGAAGCCCCTCATCAGACCCCGCTGTCCGACCCCCTCTGTGTCCCCAGGTCCCTGTGTAACACCTGACTGGCAGAAGGAATAAGAGGGGTCTCCTGGAAGGGCCTGTCACTATGCAGTGACCCTGAGGACAGCAGGGCACCTGTGGCCCTATCGACCTTGGAAAAGTCAGGGCAAACCTGTCCTGAAGGATGACGTGACAGACAAGCTTGGAGCTGGCTTGGTCACCTCCCTATCATGGTCCTTAGAGGAGACCTCCTTCAGTAACCACAGGCCACCGGGCTTCTAGGTCCTGCTAATGGGCCATCAGGGTCCCCCAGCCCTGTCTTCCCTCCCAGGCTGGCTCAGTGCAAGACATGGCCTGCAGCCAGAGACCCCGTTTTTCTCACCGCAGGGGCTGGAGTTATACAGGTGAAGGGTTCGGGTGATCACCTCTCCTCCAGAGACCTGGGTTCCAAACCTGAGGGGGGAAGACGGTGTTCAGGATAGCCAGGGCCAGCCACACCTGACAGTCAGGCTTAGTTCAGAGAGGAGGGCTGGGCCGGGGCTTGGGCAGGGACGAGGCACCACGGTGCTCTGTCTTCTGCCCCAAATCGCTGAGACCCAGAGCTGGTGGCCTTCCCACGCTGCACCCAGCAGACTGTGCTCTGGGGCTGTCTCCTGCCTGGCAACCTACCACAGCCATCCCGAGCCAACCTCGCTGATTCCAGCTCAACTGCATGGAGGTCCCTGGTAGCTCTCTGGCCTTGGGCCATACTGACTCCCTCTGGCACCTCAGAACCCTCAGAGGTGTGCAGATGGTGGCTGTGTTCTGAGGCCTCTGTTCTCCTGGACTATCCTGTCCTGGGGGTTTCTTATAGGTGGCACCACATGGCCCTCGGCCAGCTGGAGAACCACCAAGCTGGCCTGGAAAGCCCAGGCTGGAGGCGAGAGGGCTTCAGGGGCCAGCAGCGGGGGGAGGCCCAGGCTGCGGTGGGCACCTGACAATGGGCTCCTTCTGGATCTGGTCCACGGTGTAGAAGGTGGGCCGCAGGGTGCTGATGGGGCAGCCCACCGCTGCCATGTGCACCGGGATGATCGTGGGCGGCAGGTCTCCCACCTGCAAATGCACACGGGCCCTTTGTCACTCCCGCTGCCAGCTGCCACTGCGTTCCCTCCAGGCAAGGTCTTCACTAGTCCGGCCAGCCCAGGGTCCCCACAGCTTGGTCCCAGCTGGGCCGGCCTCACTCCCCACCATCCGATTCCCATTCCAGACACCCGCAGGCCTGTCCTGCCGTCTCTGTTCTCCCTTGCCGCTCTGTAGCCTCCGCTGACCTCCCAACCTGAAGACCTGTGCCCTCTCACAGCCCCTGTGATCTCTCCCCTGTCTCTTTTAATTAGAAAGAGCCTTATTGGGAACCAGCAGTTAGCGTAATGGCTGTGTTGCTGGACTCCTACGTAGTCGACCGCGGTTCGCGTCCCGGACTCGGTGGCTTAAAACTCACGCCGGGTGCGTGTGCGTGCGTGCCCAAGATCCCGAGAGGAGAATGGAGGAGAAGGGATTGTGGCATGGCCATCCCCCTGGGGGGGTGATGGGTGATTTCTCACATTTCCTTTCTGTCTCTGGTGAGTGCACATCCCTAAGGCAAAACCTAAAAACGAAAACTAAAAAGGCTGTTCAGGACGCCATGCAGAGATGCGCCCGGCGTGTTTACCCATCCTCTACAGATGGACACGGGCCCTTCGTCTTCCCCTTTCTCCCCCTACTATACAGAATGCTGAGAAGCGGGCCAGTCCCGCGGCCTAGGGGTTAAGGAAGCCAGATCCGTGTGGCTAGCAGTAGTTCAAATCCTGCTTGAAAAACACACCAGGTTCATGTGTGTGCCCCAAATTCCGACAGGATGGAGAAATGGAGGAGAATGGGGAAGCAGCAGGTGGTGTGGTGGTTGAGGCGTTGGACACTCCCACATGGCCAACCGTGGTTCGAGTCCCAGATCTAAACCTGGTGACTGGCTTTCTCACTCTCTCTCTCTCTCTCTGGTCAAATTAAAAATAAATGAATGAATAAATAAAGTTGAATAAATAATTCTTAACAAAAGTAAACATTAAAAACAGACAGAAAGCCCCTCCAGGCTAGGCAAGAGCATGGTTCAGGGGCTACTGCGGCCCTTCCACTCCTTACTCCTGACTACAGGTTTGGGGGTCTGGCCCACAGGCACCCACTGGCTCCTCTGCCCTCCTTGATGTGGCCTCAGCCCTGCACCGCATGGGAAAAGGCATGGAGGGTTCTAGCGCCCACGAGGACCCTTCCCGCCCGAGCTGTCTCAGCCTCCGTCCCAGATGTTGCAGCAGGTGCAAACTCCCACCCTGCCCTGGGGGGCGTCACCCTTCCACGGTGGGTTCTGAGCCGGAGCAGAGGGAGCCTGCTGGCCTCGGCACCGCCTCCCGCGTGTCCTCACCGTGCAGATGAGGCGGTCCCAGTACTCGCCCCACATGTTCGCACAGCCTGTGAGGTCGATGCTCAGCTCCTGGTAGGCTCCCAGCGTGCCCCGGGAAACGTGGGGAAGGAAAGCAGCTCCCTTCCCACAAGACAACATGCTCTCCATGAAGTCTGCAGGAGGACCAGAGAGGGGACTCAGGGCCCTGGCGCTGGCAGTGAGGCCCAAACCCTCAGGTGTGTGTTAACCACTGTCCCAGACAAGCCGCCCATGGCCCTCCTCCCGGGAGCCCAGGACCCAGGGGCCAGCGTCTCAGGGCCCTCCTTGTTCAGTCTCTCTGACCTCCTGAAGGGACAGACCCAGTCGCAGCCCCCTTCCTGAACTACTGCCCATGCCGAATCAAACCAGGCTCTCCACTGAGCCCCTTTACCCGGTCCCAGCAACAAAATGGTCTCATTCAAGAGAGGGGCACTGTTGGGTCTGCCCCATGCCCTAGTGGTCCACAGAGCCAGAGCCCACATGCCAACTATGGCATGAGCCTTGACCCTAGGGGCTTGAAAAATATGCTGGATACATGGGCGTGCATGTCCTAAATCCTAACAGGATGGAGAAGTGGAGGAGAAGGGATCGACCAGACCCCAGGGAGGTGCTTTCTCTTCTGTGCATGTACACACACATGCATACGTGTGCCCTCTGGCCATTAAAAAAAAAAAAAAAAAGGACCAGCAGTTAGTGAAATGGCTATGTCACTGAACTCCCATGTAGTCGACTGTGGTTTGAGTCCTGGACCTGACGGTTTATACTCACGCTAGCTGCATGTGAGTGCGTGCCCAAGATCCTGAGAGAATGGAGGAGAAAGGATTGCGGCGTGGCCATCCCCCCTGGGGGATGATTTTTTGTTTTCTGTCTCTCTGTCTCTGTCTTTCTGGTGAGTGCACGCGCCCTATAGCCAAAATCTCTCCAAAAAGAGAGAGAGAGAGAGAGGCACTGATGACTGGAAAGCAAGGACCATCTCGGGGACCTCACTCAGTAAGATGCTGCCCGTGGTCTCTGGCCCCTGCTACCCTGGCAGCTTCTGGCCATGTCTTTAGAAGGTCAGTGAAAGCCACCTCTGTCCAGGGTCTGGGCCCAGTGGGCGCAGCTGGGGCTCTTACCCTGCTTCTCTCGCTTGGCCAGGTGCTCTTGGATCCGAGCTGTCCTCAGCAGGGCAGGAGCGACGTCGGGGCTTTCCAGACACAGACGCAGCAATGTCAGGGCAGCCGAGCCCTCCCTAAGCCCTGAGCCACATCTGAGGCAGCCAGCACCCGAGGACGCTCAGCAGAGGAAGGCGGCCCTGCTCACTCCTCCTGGGAGAGCCGGCCAGGCCTCCTTCACCTCTTCTTTCTGCCTGCGCTCCCACTCCAGCCCTACCACTCACAGCGTCCCCAGCTACAGGCCACCCGCCGGCCGTGGGGACTGCTTCCCTGCATGCCCAGGAGGGCTCTGGGACGGGAGTCTAGCTCAGACTCTGTCCTGGCTACCTGTGGGTGGAAACCCAGCCCGCGTCCCCATGTCCTGCCTAGATCTGGGCAATAGGCCTGCTCCTAGCCGCTCCTGCTGCCATCTGCCCAGCATCAGTGCCAACGACGTTCCAGGGGAGAAAGGTCATGGCTTAGAAACTGCCCGTGGCCCCCCACCCCCCGGGGCGATGGTTTCTAGACCGGCTCCTCCAGAGAGTAGCTGCTGATGTGTCACGTGGTGGTGTGCTGCTGAACTGCCTCCCCACAACAAAAGCCCTCATCTGCAGTGTTGGCCAACCACTGTGGTGTAAATATTTCCACCCTGCGGATTTCAAAGGACACTTTGCAAAAGTATACTCCCGGGACGAACGTGCCCAGATATTTAACAACTGGCCCTCCCGCCCGTGCGAGCTGGCTCTGCTCTCCACTGTGCGTGCACTAAGTGAGTGTGCAGGGGTGTGTGTGTATGTGTAGTTGGGATGTGCACAGGTGGGTACGTGTGTGTGTGCAGGTGCGTGTGATTGTGTATGTGTGTACATGCAGATATGCATGTGTGCATGCATGTGTGTGCTGTGTGTAGGAATGTGTGTGTGTGAGGGTGTGTAGGATGTATGTCTAAGTGTACAGTTATGTGTGTAGGGCATGTGTGTAGGTGTGTGTGTTTACAGATGTGTGTGTAAGCGTGTGTGTACAAGGGTTCTGTGAAGTGTGAGTGTGTCTGTGTGCACTGGTGTGTGTATAAGAGTGTGTGTGAGGTGTGAGAATGCCTGCCTGTACAGGTACGTGTGTAAGGTATGAGTGTCTGCATGTACAGGTGTAGGTGAGAGTGTGTACGAGTATGAGTGTTTCTGCCTCTACAGGTGTGTGTAAGAGTGTGTGCAAGGGTGTGTGTGTCTGTGTGCATGTGTGTGTCTGCATGTACAGGTGTGTGTGAGATGTGAGCGTGTCTGCATGTAGAGGTGTGTGTGAGATATGAGTGTGTCATGTGCACAGGTGTGTGTGTGTAATGGTGTGTGTGAGGTGTGAGTGCATCTGCGATCTGCATGTACAGATGTGTGTGTAAGGGTGTGAGTGCATATGCATGTACAGGTGTGTGTGAGGAGGTGTGTGAGGTGTGAGTGTGTCTGCATGTACAGGTGTGTGTGTGAGGGCGTGTCTGTGTGCATAGGTGTGTGTAAGGGTGTAAGTGTGTCTGTGTGTACAGGTGTGTGTGAGGGTGTGTGTGAGATGTGAGTGTGTCTGCGTGTACAGGTGTGTGTGTGAGGGCATGTGTGTCTGTGTGCACAGGTGTGTGTAAGGGTGTGAGTGTGTCTGCGTGTACAGGTGTGTGTGAGGGTGTGTGTAAGGGTGTGAGTGCATATGCATGTACAGGTGTGTGTGAGGAGGTGTGTGAGGTGTGAGTGTGTCTGCGTGTACAGGTGTGTCTGTGAGGGTGTGTGTAAGGGTATGAGTGCGTATGCATGTCCAGGTGTGTGAGGAGGGGTGTGAGGTGTGAGTGCGTCAGCGTGCACGTGTGTGTGTGTGTGTAAGTGGTGCTCTGGGTCTTGTCCTTGAGCACAGCAGCCTCGCTGCCCGTGGTCTCACCTGGGGCACCTCCTCCCCGGCTCTCCCAGCCCCTCCTCACGGCCCCACCATCACGGTCACTTCTCCCTCGCCCCCTCCCTCTGAAAAAGTCAGACTCACAGGCTGGTCGTCTTGCCCAGGCAGCTCGGGGGGCTCCCAAAGTACTCGAACTGGAGTGTGAATGGGGTCTCTATTGGAGAGCGGTTGGTCAGGACGAGCTGGCGGCTCACACGGGTCCACAGTGGCACTGTCGAGCCGAAGTCCAGGCACAGCTCCTCCGGGTGGCCTGGCCACCACTTCGTGCTGGAAAGAGCACCCAGTGCCCAGGGGTTCTGTTACATGCCACCCTTGGCCCTGCCCAGAGAGCCACCCTGGGTGTGGGTGCCGGAGCTGTTGCCCGGAAACCAGGCTTCATCCTTGGCCTCACTCCTCACTGAGCTGCAAACCCAGAGCCATCTTCCTTCCCCGATGATGATGCTCAGAGATGCTTCAACTGTGCACAAAGTGTCCCTGGCCAGGGCCAGACTGGTGCGCCCCCTAGTGCTGGCCCTCAGCTGGGAAACCCCGAGTACCTGCAGCCTGACCCCTGCGCTCTACCTGCCTAGGCGTTGTGCCTTGCAGGGTGTGGTAAGACCACGCCGGGGAAGGGATGGAGTGAAGGGACCTGTCACCCTGAAAGTGACAAGGGCTGCAGCAGCGTGGCCTTCTGGCTGGTCCCACGGTAAGTGTTGGTCCTTGGTGCGGGAGCCCAACCCTCGGGCCCCACCCCAGTCCCGGGCTCACCTGCTGTGGGAGTCCACAGAGACCGCAATGTCCACTTGTAGGCCCTGGGGCTTCCCAGAGATGCCCAGGACCAGTGGCTTCTTCATGCCTGACACACGGCAGGGCAGGGCCAGATCGCTCAGCTCCTCCTGTGGGAGAGCCCATCCGGGGTGTCAGACCCAGGACTGAGAACTCCAAAGACGGGGTTCGTCCCCACGTCCCCAGCGGACCTGGTTGCTATGGTTGCCTTGGTAAGGCCTTGCCCTTTGTCCAGGCCCATCTCACGCAAGGGCTCTCCATTCCCTCCAGTCAGCCCAGGCTGGCCGACCGGCCCCTTCCTCAGTGCTCATGGCTGCTGGGTATGCCCGTGCCGAGGGAGACCCCTCCAGGAGGGCCTCTGCACAACCTGCACGTTTTCTCTGATGATGCTGTTACTAGGAGTCCAGCCCTTCCCGGGCAGCTTGGCTGCGTGCTGGGCCCAGGCCGGTCTGTCCACCAACTCAGAGCGCAGCCTAAGTTGGGGGGGAAGCCCGCTGTCCCCGTTTGCCAGTGAGGAAACAGGGCTGCAGATGTCTGGAAGGGAGACATCTCTCCCCACAAGAACCCACAAAGGGATAGCCAGCGACAACCCACGGTCTGCCCCGAGGCCTCCCTGGGCCATGGCAGAAGACGGGGAACGAACGTCCATGTCTCCTGGAAGGAGCCTGGACGCCAATTTTCCCCGGCAGCCATCCGCACAGGGCCCACCGTGAGCAGCAGCTCTGCTCTGAATTTCTGGGCTGACTGAAAAGCTGGGCCTCTCTATGGCCACAGAGAATGGCCTGGCAAGACGGAAGCATATGCCAAGGCCAGGCATGGCCCCACCCAGGTCTGCTCCAGGCTCTTTATGTCCCCGGAGAGCAGGCTCCGCAGGAAGGCAAGAACTGTCTTCCCGACTGACCCCGGCCACATGGTCAGACATAAGGCCCAAGGTAGGCCCTCCCTGGTGGCGCAGTACACACAGCTGGTCCCTCTCCGTCACGCCGACCCCCATGCTGCCTTTCTCACCAGGGCATGGCTGGCCCCCCTCCATCACGCCGACCCCCATGCTGCCTTTCTCACCAGGGCATGAGCAGTGAACTCCAGGGTGAGCTGGTGCTCCTCGCTGGGGCCCAGCAGGCCACGTCTGGGGGAGACCGTCACTGAGCAGAGGTCTGCTTGGTGCCCTAGGAGCTGGTAGACACAAAGGCAGGCCTGTGGTCACGTGCCAGGCTTCTGGAATGGACCGGGTCCAGGCAGAGTGCTCGACATGGCCACAAGCACTACTGGACACTGCCAGACTGGAGCCCAGAGGACTTGCCGGGGTGGACGCTCACTCCTGGGGTTAAACCACAGCTTCCTTCTCCTCTGTTCCTGTCAGGGGGCTGCCTGGCTAAATAAGCTGCTTAGGGAGACCCAGAGTGACAGGAGCAGAGGCAGCCTCCTCTGAGGCCTTGTCCCCAGCAAGCTCCATGGTCAGCTCGGGGCTGCGCCATGATGGGTCCCGGGGCTATGCTGGCTGGGAGGGTCTAGCTGCATCCACCAGAAACTCTCTAGGGGACCAGCAGGTGGTGGAGCACTGGGTACCACGTGACCTACTGCACGGCTGGAGTCCTGAACCCAGCGGCTCAAAAAATGTACCAGCGGGAACCAGCAGTTAGCGTAATGGCTATGTCGCTGGACTCCCACGTAGTCGACCGCGGTTCATGTCCCGGACCCGGTGGCTTAAAACTCACGCCGGGTGCATGTGCGTGCGTGCCCAAGATCCCGAGAGGAGAATGGAGGAGAAGGGATTGCGGCGTGACCATCCCCCCTGGGGGGGTGATTTCTCGCTTTCTGTCTCTATGTCTCTCTCTGTCTGTCTGGCGAGCGCACGCGCCCTACAGTGAAAATCTCTCCAAAAAAAAAAACCCAAAAAACAAACAAACAAACAAACAAAATGTACCAGGTGTGTATGTGTGTGTGCCCAAGATCCCAAGAGGAGAGCGGAGGAGAAGGGATGGCAGCATGGCCGTCCCCACTGAGGGGTGATTTCTCATTTTCCCTCTCTCACTCTGTCTCTCTCCATTTCTGTTCAGCAAGCTTACATATCCTATAGGAAAAAAAAAAAAATGAAAAAGAAAAAGGAAAAAGAAACACAACTTTTTGGGCAGGGAATCGGAATCCCCACAGGAAAGCTGGACCATGTGTGCGTGTTGCTCTTTCCAGGAGCTTCTCGGAGCACGTGGAGTGGGAACAGGCTGCGGGAAGGAGGCTGAGCATCTGCTCTGGGGGAGGCCTAGGGGGAACACCCCTGCAGATAGGCCTCTGTTGTGGAGGGCTGCAGACCTGCTACAGAAGGTGTGGGCCCGCTCACCTTGCCCCAGTGGAACCGGGTGGGCAGGAAAGTGCCATTGGTGAGGGTGAGGGCCACCTTCGAGGGCACGCCCAGGTAGAGGTCACTGAGTTGCACGTGGCTGCTCTGCAGGTAGACATGGGGCTCCTGGACCTCGGCATACACAGGGAGGTAGCTGGGCCACAAGGGAATGAGGCACATGGTCAGAAAGGAAAACACGAGTGGCCGGCAGGTGGCATGGTGGTTAAAGGCGCTGGACTCCCACATGGCCGACTGCAGTTCAAGTCCTGGACCTGGTGGCTTGCTTTCTCACTTCTCCTCTCTCTCACTCTGATCAAACCAGAAAATAATAACTATAAAGTTAAATAAAATAATTCTTAAAAAAATAAAAGAAAGCATGCAACCGACCCTGTTTACAGACGGCAGGGTACTCTATGGAGAAAACCCCCAAAGGAGTCTATAATTTTTTAAAACTCTTAGAACTGGGACCAGCAGATGACATAATGGTTATGTCGCTGGACTCCCACATAGTCGGCTGTGGTTCAAGTACTGAACCTGGCAGCTTAAAACTCACACCAGGTACATGTTTACGCATGCCCAAGATCCTGAGAGGAGAATGGAGGAGGAGGGATGGTGGTGTAGCCAGCTCCTCCGGGGGTGATTTCAGAATGGAGACATGGAGAAGGTTGCTGCGTAACCATGCCCCATTGGGGGTGCTTTCTTCCTCTGTGTCTCTCTCATATCTCTATGCCAAGTATATACACCGTCTCACAATGAAAAAGGAATGAGTATAGGGCATATATACAACTTAAATATATACACGGTTTAGGGGCCGGCAGGTGGTGTGGTGGTTAAGGGCGCTGGACTCCCACATGGCTAACCATGGTTCAAGTCCCGGACCTGGTGGCTTACTTTCTAAAGAACTAGTGTGTAAGTGCCTAACTCATGCACCTCCCTCAGCCAGCTTAAGAAGCGAAATACTATCACCAGCCAACGAAAGAAAATATTTTACTTCAAGATAATTTGGACTGGGACCCGCAGATGGTGTAGCAGTTACATCACTGGACTTCCACATGGCCAACCCCAGTTCGAGCCCCAGACCCAGTGGCTTGAAACTCAGGCTGAGCACATGTGCATGCGTGCCCAAGATCCCGAGAGGAGAATGGAGGAGAAGGGACTGTGGTGTGGCCATCCCCCCTGGGGGGTGATTTCTCGCTTTCTGTCTGTCTTTTCGGTGAGCGCACACGCCCTATAGTGAAAACTTCTCAAAAAAAAAAAAAAAAAAAAGGGAAAAAACAAATTCAGAATGTCTCGGGGCCGACAGGTGGCGTGGTGGTTAAGGGCGTTGGACTCCCACATGGCTGACCATGGTTCGAGTCCTGGACCTGGAAACTTGCTTGTTCTCTCTCTCTCTCTCTGTCCCTCTCTGGTCAAATTAAAATAAATAAAGTTTTTTAAAAATTCAGAATGTCTCTAGGTAATTACACGATTGCACATACTATAATAAATAGCATATCCAGAAAACCTGTCCGGATGGCTTCCTCCTACCTCCCGGTTCCGTCCTCCACCTCCAGCTCCAGGACGGTCTGCAGCCGCCAGCAGCGCAGGGCCTCCAAGGTGACGGTCACTCTGCACTCCCCCAGCGGGTGCAGCTGCCCGCTGCACGGCTCCATTTCAAAGGGGGACACCTGATCAGGAGGTCAGTGCGGAAGGACCAGGGGTGAGCTGCAGAGGAACTGGGGCTGGCCATGCCCAGCTAGAGTGGCCCCCAAGCTGCCCCCCCCCCACAGCTCTTGAAAGAGCCATCCAGGGTCCAGAAGGAGGCACACGGATGGGGGAACACAGCCAGGGGAGTCTCAGGATTAAGAAGACAAAACTCTGAACAAAGGAATCCACGAGTGGGATATCCCCAGACCCTGGTTCTAGCCGGGGGACAGCAAGGAGGGCAGGGAGTAGGAAGAAGAGCGTGAGCCCTGGGAGGGGGCATGCAGTGGCCTTCTGAGCAAGCCTGCGCGGGACCATGACAACTTCAACCGAGGAAAGCCACCAGGTCACCAATTGGGGGGGGGTGCCCTGTAGGCACAGATTTCTCCTTTGCACTCACATGGTCTCCCCCAACCCCCATTCAACCCCCTTTGCAGGCTTGGGCTCATTTATCAGGCAGGTCCACCCTCCGCCATACCGGCACAGCCAGAGGGAGAGGGGAAGGGGGAATCTTAAGAAGAAACGCGTCCGCATCTGGGCAGGGCTCTGCCTTCTCTCCCCACTGCCCTGACTAAGACAGAGAAGGGGCACTGGCTAGCCCGAGGGCCCCCGATGGGCCAAGCTGGCTAGTGGGGGTGTCGCTGGACATTGGAAGGTCACACAGAAGGATGTTACACCTCCCCGGGGTCTCTCCCCTCCTGTACATCCCTAGGGAGTGGTGGTGGTCCAGGGCTGGGTTTTTGCAGTTCTGGATCCCCAAAGCTGAGTGCATTTAACGAGCCCCAAATCGCGACATCCTTTTATTTTTATTTATGTATGTTTTTTAGTTTTGTTAAGGGTGCGTATACTCACTGAGAGAGACACCAAGAGAATGAGTGAGAAATCACCCCCTGGGGGGATGGCCACACCACAACCCCTTCTCCTTCTTCTCTGGATTTAAGGCCCGCACACGAGGCCCGCATGTTTTACAGACTGCTGGATCTGGGACTTGAACAGCACAGCCAGTCATGTGGGATCTAGCTGCCTTAACCTCCACGCTACCAGCTGACCCAACGGTATTAATTTTTTTTTTTTTTTTTTGAGAGGGATATTTGCTCTAGGGTGCGTGCGCATGCAAGCGAGACAGAAAATGTCACCTCCCAGGGAATGGCCATGCTGCAATCTCTTCTCTATCCCTCTCCTGTCTGAACATACGTTCCCAGCGTTGCTGTTTTATTATTTTTGGGAGAGGTTCTCACCATAGGGTGCGTGTGAGAGACAGAGAGACAGAAAGTGAGAAATCATCCCCTGGGGGGATGGCCATACTGCAATCCCTTCTCCTCCATTCTCCTCTCGGGATCTTGGGCATGCACGCACACGCGCCGGGCGTGCGTCTAAGCCACCAGGTCGGGGACTCGAACCACAGTTGACTACATGGGAGTTCAGAGACTGCCAGGTCCGGGACTCGAACCATGATCGACCACGTCCAGCTACATAGGCACACACTATCTGCTGGTTCCCCAACATTGCTCTTGAGAGCACTTAAGAATGGAGTGTAGCTAACTAGAGACGGCCAGTTTCAATGACAACGTTCATTTTAAAATACTATCAAATGGAGAGGTATAAAAATACTTCCTGGGGAAGCCCACCCCTTCCCCTCTCTCTTCTATCCAATGAGGAGGTTGGCCAAGGTCTGGAAGCTTCTAGCCGTGCTCCGGGACAAGTGCCTAGGCAGGAAGCTGGGAGGTGGGAAGGGTGGCCCAACAGAGGGCAGCCAGGGGCAGGCCGCCCTCGCTCTCTAAACCCAGCTCCTGCGTTTCAGGGGGTCTCCCCCGAAAAGAGTGTGGACCCTGAGGACACCGGCCCCTCCCCCATCTCCGCCCCCCCCCATCTTCCCCCAATTCTTCTGACGCTTGCGGGAACCAAGGGGCACCGGTGGGGGGCGCTGCACTCCGCGATGACCTGTGAGTCAGTGCCCCTGCCCCAACTTCTGGTCCAGCGTGCCCAGCTGGAGGAGGCCGGCAGGTACAGGAGCCGGGTTGCTGAGGGGGAAAGGGGAATCTTGGGGAGAGGCAACGCCCTCTGGCCAAGGAGGTGCCCCTGTGGCTGGGACTGTCCGCCCTGCAACCTCCCAGGCAACCTCCCACGGGAGGGAAAACCCCAGCGCCCTTGGGCACAGAGGGGGCCCTCGGTTGGAAGCGGTAGGAGGGAGGGTGATGTCACGGAACGCGCGTGGCCAGGGGCTGGCAGGGGCAAAGCAGCAGGGAGCTCCAGCCACCAGGGCGGGTGAGGAGGTGGCTGGCCGGTAGGGAGTACCCGATGCTCTGCGTGACTGCCCTGTTCGGGACCGTCCATTAGGTTTCAATGGGATGCCACAATCTAAACGCCACGATGGTCATACAGCAACTGCCCCCGCCCCACACTGTCACAGTAAAATGGAAAGCCCTGGGACGCAGCCATTGCTGCCCCCGACAGATGGCTGGTTACGTCCCTGGACTCCGGCATAGTCCACCGACCACGGTTGGAGTCCCAGACCAGATGGCTTAAAACTCACGCAGGGCATGTAAGCGTGTGTGCCCCAAGTCCCAGAGGAGAATGGAGGAGAAGGGATTGTGGCATGGCCTTCCCCCCTGAGGGGGTGATTTCTCACTTTCTGTCGCTCTCTGTTTCTCTCTTTCTGGAGAGTGCATGCACCGTATAGCAAAAAATGGCTCTTAAAAACAAAAATAGGAAACCCCATTTGAACAGAGACTCTTGAATTTTACAAGCCCGTGCTCAGGCGCCACCTGGTGGCAGGTACCTAAGCTGCAGGCACAATCGCGGGGCGGATCTGAAACGCCGACCTGAGCGGCAGCAGCTTCTGGGCTGCTCCACGCGGCTGCTATTTATCTCCCCGACTGGGGACGCGCTGATGACAGCGACACCCACATCCTCTTTCTGCACCCAGTGGCAGAGAAAGGCACAGGGACCGCCAGCGTGGGGTTAACTCGGCTGCAGAGAGGAGCTGTCCCAGTGATGACCTCAAAGCTCGGGCCTGAATGCGCTGTGCATGTTCCCCCGTCCAGACCGCACCGAGCCTGGGCCGTGGGTGGCACAGGGGGCCGGCGGTGCCCTACTTACGTCCTCATGCCTTTCCTCCAGGCAGACGGGGCTCTCCCTCATGTGCCACCTGGCTGGGAGCTGGCTGACATTCCGGATCTGGATGGTCTTGGTGGCTTTCTGTTCCAGGCGGAGCAGACCAAACTGAAGGGCTGGGAGGTCGATGACCAGGGCAGGCCCCTGAGACGCCGAGATGGGCCTGTTACTGGGCCACCCGGGGACGGGCTGTGTGTCCTGCCCCTGTCACCTCTCTGGGCTGGTCTGGCTGCCCGGGCCCCCCGCCCACAGCACCTTAAAGGCCGCTTCGATGTGTAACACCACTGGTGTGGGCGAATCTTTGATTTCACACAGCAGGTCCTGGCTTGTTGGGCCAGGGACACCCCCGGTGAAGTTCAACTCAAAATCCCCAACCTCGTTGGGCTCTGGGAGAGAAGACAGGGACAGGTGGAGGGAGGAAGCAGGGGCAGTTTCCTCCCTGGTTGGGCCCAGGCGTTCCCTGACTTCTCAGTCCCCACGTGTCCCAGGCCTGGCTCGGGTTGTCCAAGGACCCCCCAGCGCCCTGGCAGGCCCCTGGCACTCTGAAGCCGCCTGGCCCGGCCAGCCCCAGGCAGGCCCCAGGCCCTCCAGCGTCCCCGAGGTACCGATGACTCCTATGCAGGGTTCCACTTCGATGATGTGGCAGTCACAGATCTTGCCCCACATGTATCTGATGGGTGACTTGCTGTTGTTCCACATCTGAAAGACACCCGCTCAGGCCTGCCCCGCACTGCCCCCTGGTGCTGAGTCTGGGCCTGCTGCAGGGCTGGGATTGTGCACTCACAAAGGGGCCACTGGATCCCCCCCACCAGCTCATTCCTGGCCACCTGCCGCCCCTCAGGCTTTCCAGCCCAAGCACCCTCACGATGCACGATTACAGTGCTTGTAGGCGCCACGCTGTGGCAAAGACCTGTGACCACGGGAGGGGATTCCGGAGCCCTCATTTCCGAAGGATTCTGGAGAGCTAGTGAAATCAGAGACGTGCCTGGTCCAGGCTTCTGCACAAGCCGCGTGGGGTCCGGGGGCCTTTGGGGACAGCCTCCGCCTCTGTGCAGGGGCCACCGCTGCCATCTGCCCCTGCGGCTGTTCCCTCTCTGCGCTCGCACCCAGGGGAGAGAGGCGGACCCACCTTAAAGTCTTTCTTCACGTTTATGCCAACGTAGTTCTCCCCCGGGAGGAGGAGGGCGTAAGGTTCCAGGAGAACCTGGAAAGGCTCCGCTGGGCCTTTCAGCTCGATTTCCAGGACGATCACGTCATCCGCGTAGTAGGAGGGGTCCTCCAGATTGTCCCCTTCCAGACTGAACACAGGCCCACCCTGAGCGGCGGGCCGCACCGCAGGGGCATGCTCCTGTGGGCTCCTGCCTCTGTCCCGCATTCTGGTCTCTTGAGGAGACGCTCCCCACCCACAGCTCCCAAGCCCCCTGAAGTCTGTGGCAACAGCCCGTGCCCTGAAAGATGGGGGCTGCCTACGGCCAACAGTGGTGTGCCCAGGGCCTGGGACAGGGCACTGCCCTACTGCCACTAGGGACCACGGGGCAGCACCCCAGCCTGGGGTCTCTGGAGACACATCCGGGTGGTCCACACCATGCGGTAAAAGAAGTCACCACCGCCCAGGAGGCCCGCAGCCCTCATGGGGAGTTCAGCAAGCTCTGTTCCCAGATTGCTAGGGCAAAGTAAAAATGCGTCTACTTGGGGCCAGCAGGTGGCGTGGTGGTTAAAGCGCTGCACTCCCGCATGGCCGACTGTGGTTCGAGTCCTGGACCTGGCGGCTTGCTTTCTCACTTTCCCCTTCTCTCTCTCTCTCTCTCTCTGTGTGTCTTTCTGGTCAAGTTAAAAAATAATAATAATAAAAAATAAAATTAATTAAATAAAGTAATTTTAAAAAAATGCTTCTATGCCCCAAAGCTTGCCCTTGAGCCCTGCCTCGTGTCCCTCCCCTGAGAAGCATCCCCAGTGGCTCCCCCCCCCCCGCGCCGGTCCCCACTACCTTACGGGCTCTGGGATGTCTTCCAGCACCATCTGGAGCACGCTGTGGAAAACCCTCAGCTGCAAGACAAGCACAGCGGCCTGAAAACAGCTGCATCCAAGCCGGGCTGCCCCGGAGAAAGCCGGGGCCAGGGCAGGGGTCCCTCCTCCACAGCTCAGGGCTGCCACCTCACCTCTTTCCCACTCTGGGGAAAGTGAGGCCACTCAGGCATGGGCTATGACCCGGGGGCTGCCCCGGCCAGGCTCGGGACAGGAAGGAGAGGCCCTTGCACAGTGCCCCGTGGCGGGGCCTCCCAGGACAGGCTGCGGTGGCTGGGAGCTGGGCAAGGGCTGGACCCACTCATCTTGGTCCCTTTCACATATGGGGTGCCTTGGGGAGCTGCAGCTCACTTGGAAGGCTGCTGTGGGAGCGGAGGGGATGGGCTTGTGGAGACAGAGTGAGGCTGCAAGCCCAGAGGTGCTGCAGACAGGGCGTGTGTGGGGTCGGGCAGGCCAGATGGGCTCCTTCATCAGCACGCCCGGCACAAGCTCCATCCACACTCTGGCCTGGGCGCCAGCCTACTCGGAGGGCCTGGAACTTCGGCCGGCCCAGCTGTGGCTTCCGGTCATTAAAGAACAAGGACAGAGGGTCCTTGACCCCGTCCTGCGTGGCTCCTGGGAGGACACCATTTTAACCTCATGAGGAGAAAAGCTCAGGGTGAACTCGTGGTCCGTGTGGGGACTGAGGACCCCCTTTTGGGGCACGATGGAGAAGGCGCTGTCCCTGTCGGGGTGGTACTTGATGCTGTCCATGCTGTAGGTCTCTCCGGGCATCAGGGGCTGCAGGTTGGGCTTCATGAGCTGCCAGTGGAAGGCCAGCTCCACGTGCCTGCGGGGACAGTCCTGACGGTGGGCAGTGGGTCCACGGTCACGTCCCCGTGCAGCCAGGACCAGGAGCTCCCGCATGGCGGCCCTGACCTGCTCCAGGAGCGAGCAGGGAAGGACCCAGGGACAGGAAGCGACCAGGTCAGCCTTCAAGTCCTTCCCATAGGTCAGGGACCCAGGTGAGTTGGGGAGCCCGGGCTGGGGCTCAGGCCAGAAGCCCCTCACTGCCCACCCACAGCAGCTGGAGGTGGGAGCCGCAGAGACTCGGGGGGGCGGGGACGGTTAGCTCAGGAAAGCACGTTCCGGCAGTGACACTGGAGTCCAGACCGCAGGGCTGTGTGTGTGTGTGTGTGTGTGTGTGTGTGTGTGTGTGTGCGTGTGCATGTGCGTGTGTGTTTTATTTTTTGTTTGTATTGTTGTTGTTTTTGTCTGTTTTTAATTGCTAGAGAGTGAGTGTGCTCGCCAGAGAGAAAAAGACGTAGTGAGGGAGAAAGGACCCCCCCCCAGTGGGGTGTGGTCTCTCCCTTCTCTATTTCTCCATCCTGGCAGGATTCGGGGCATGCACGGTGTGCCCCGGGTATGTTTTTCAAGTTGCCAGGGACCTGTTCTCGAATCCCGGCTGGCCATGCGGGCTCTGGCTCCCTGAACC